AAAAAAAAAAAAAAAAAAAAAAAAAAACTACTTATGAGTGAATCATTGAATATTACTGGGGCTATAGCTGGCCAAAGTTGAATCCACAATGTCACTGAAAGTAAACAAACCCTGAAGAAATGGCCCAATGAGACAGACCCAGTAAACTAAATAAATTAGAGTGGCCCTGGAGAAGTTCACTGTGCCTGCTATTGTTAACATATATTACCTTGACAATGGAGTTATAAATGGCCTGGATTAATGTGAACTTCTTTATGAAAGTCTCTACAGCAAGCCCAAGTCAACCAAAAACCACGAACCTGATAGCACGCCAGGAAGAAAATATGGAAGCTATGACAGAAGCAGAAACTCCAGAAAGTGAAAATAGATGCTGTCGACAATGGCAACTTTTCTGTCTATTATAAGGCTTGTCTCCACTGAAAGCACAGGCACTTTGTTTTCTTTAAACTTCAAATAACTGCCATGCCACTCAAAGCTCAAGGAAGCCGACCATGGGACTGGGGGGTGGGGAGGCTGTCAGGGAGCACAGCTTAGAATTGATCTCATGAATTAATTACAGGGACAATAATAATAGCCAAAATTCGCAGTTGCTACTGTAAGTCCCTCTCAGCTCTTATGAATCCAACCTCAGTGCTGTAATGGCTGGTTCTCCAGCAGCTGTATAAAGAGGTCCTGATTTCACTTTTTAGGGGAACGGTTGTTTTGTCCATTTGCTGTTGTTTGGGTCTTGGTTTTCTAGACAGGGTCTCATGCAGTCTAGCCTTTAACATGAATCTTTCTGCCTCTAGCTCTCAAATTTTGGGGCTTAGGTACATATGGCCACACTCCTGGGGAAGCCTGATTTGTAATAGTTGCTACTCTCTTTTCTTCACTGGGGCTATTTTGTAGCCACCGAGGTGATATCACCAGGGTTGCAAAATTACTACCATGCTCTCTCAAGCCAGTTGTAGCATAACACTGTCACTCAAATTTATGGTTAACATCTTCATATTTTAAGTGTCCTAAACAGGAAGTCTACACATTATCCAAAAGGATGTTTAATAAATAATAGGCACTCATTGAATAATAGAATTAATCTTATAAGTCAAGAATACCCATTTAGAAAACCACAGTGTGCCAGGCGGTGGTGGTGCATGCCTTTAATCCCAGCACTTGGGAGGCAGAGGCAGGCAGATTTCTTAGTTCGAGAGTTCGAGGCTATCCTGGTCTACAGAGTGAGTCCCAGGACTGCCAGGGCTACACAGAGAAACCCTGTCTCGAAAAACCGAAAGAAAGAAAGAAAGAAAGAAAGAAAGAAAGAAAGAAAGAAAGAAAGAAAGAAAGAAAGAAAGAAAGAAAGAAAGGAAGGAAGGAAGAAAGAAAGAAAGAGAAAGGAAGGAAGGAAGGAAGGAAGGAAGGAAGGAAGGAAGGAAGGAAGGAAGGAAGGAAGGAAGGAAGGTGAATCTGGGCATGCAACAGTTTTGGATTCCACTGCACTAGACCCACTGCCTTCTCAGTAAAACGTTCCTTAAGGATGGTAAATACTACACTGTACAGGTTTTAAGGTGATGTTTAAAAGATACATCAGCATTCAACAATTTGCAGTGATGTAATTTCATCATAAGGAGCTTGCCTAGTGGCTTACTTGGATAATCAGCAGCTATTAAGATGACTGTATTTCTTGCATTCAACATGAACTTTAAAAAAGCAAAGAACTATATATACATCCTGGCAGATGTCATAGTTAGGGTTTCCACTAATGTGGAACACCATGACCAAAAAACAACTTGGGGAGAAAAGAGTTTATTTGGCTTATACTTCCATATCACTGTTCATCTTCAAAGAAAGTTAGGACAGTAACTCAAGATCAGGAACCTTCTTGAAGCTGATGCAGAGGCCCCCAGGGGAGGAGGTTTGGGGGTGCTGATTGCTGGCCTGCTCTTATGCCTTACTCAGCCTGCTTTCTAATAAAACCCAGGACCACCAACCCAGACATGGTACCACTCACAAAGGGCTAGGTCTTCTCACATCAATTGGTAATTAAGAAAAAGTCCTTGCTGGGCAGAGGTGGCACATGCCTTTAATTCCAGCACTTGGGAGGCAGAGGCAGGCGGATTTCTGAGTTCGAGAGTTCGAGGTCAGCCTGATCTACAGAGTGAGTTCCAAGACAGCCAGAGCTACACAGAGAAACCCTGTAGATAAAAACCAAAAAAAAAGAAAAAGAAAATGTCCTATATCTTATGGAGGCATTTTCTCAATTGAGGTTCCCATCTTTCAGATAATTCTAGCTTGTGTCAAGTTGAAATAAAATTACCCAGGACAGCAGATTCTGTTATTCACGTTCATGAGCTGTTTAGAACTGACTGAAATAGAGCTGGGGTGTAGCTTTTTGTCTAAGCACTTGTCTAGGAGGTATGATACCTGAGTTTCATCCGAATACATCATAAAAACACTAAATAATTACAACAGATTCAATTTGAGTATGAAAGTACATGCCTGTAATTTCAGCTTGGGAAGTAGAAACAGAAGGCTCATAATCCAAGGGCAACCTGTGCTACATGTAACCCAATATAAACAAGTCTGTATATGGTTGGAGTGGGGAGGCTGTCTCTCTCTCTCTCTCTCTCTCTCTCTCTCTCTCTCTCTCTCTCTCTCTCTCTCTCTCTGTGTGTGTGTGTGTGTGTGTGTGTGTGTAAGTTTAATGTGCTTATTCCAGCTTCCATATTTTCATACTGAAAATCACCTTGAAATCAACAACAGATACCCAGTAGTTTCACTAAAAACTGAACCATCAAGTATATTTTCTCATTTCTAATTTAATTTTAATCATGTATATGTGTCCAAGTGAGGGAATGTACATGTTGGTGCAGGTGTTCAGTGAGCCAAGAAGACGGTATCAGATTCCTTCCCTGGAGCTGGAGGTACAGTAACTGTGAGCCACCTATTGCAGATCCTGGAAAGTGAAGGCATGTCTTCTATAAGACCACAGAGCCATCTTTTCAGCCCCACTTACATATTCTTTTTTTTGCACCCCCTTTTTTTGTTTGTTTGTTCTTTTGTTTGTTTGAGATACCATGTAAGTTGCCCTAACTGTCCTAGAACTTGCTATACAGACCAGCCTGACCTCAAACTTACCTGAGATCTGCCTGTGCCTGCCTACCCAGTGCCGGGATTAAAGGTGTGTTCTACTACATTGACTCACTTCCACCTACATTTTTTAAAATGTTTTTTGGGGTGAAATGCAGCTGAGTAGTGGCTTATAGATATCTGTTCTCTTAATGTGGTTATCGTAACTTCCTTATGAACGATTGGGGACAAAGACAAAACAGAGTTTTGCTAGACAGACCTAAATAGCCCTCAAAACCTTGATTCTCCTGCCTCAGCCCTGGAATACTACCATTCCAGTCCAGCATGTGTGTCTAGAATTAATACAAACTTAATTGCTATGCTTTTTTGATAATCAGAAATGTTTTACTCATTAGCACACATACAATTCCAAGGCCTAAAACTAAGGCAGTTGTTCTTAAATAACTTAGCAAGTAAGAAATGGACATTTTAAATTAATGTTTTAAATGAAAAATGTGAGGTATAACTTTTTCAAACATCATGCTCAGCACAGGATTGAAGGTGGGAGTATTTCTCTCTCTCTCTCTCTCTCTCTCTCTCTCTCTCTCTCTCTCTCTCT